ACAATAGCCATCAAGTCTTACGCATTTTACATAGTTAAATATTAAATATTAAATATTAGCAATGATATGCTTCATATTTTTCATTTAACAATTTGAAATACACATGACTTAGACAATAAACCAAATAGCTCTAGTAGTATAGGGTATAAACTATGTATAGTACTAACCAAATTAGGGTAATTGGATTCACTTTCCATCAAGAAGGGTTTGAATCTTCGTTCACCAATAACTCCTACGTGTTTCAGATCCGCATCAACCCTGTTCAACGACATAAAAGAGAATGAACAAGAAGTACGCAGGTTGCTATCATTAACAACAATCGAAAGACTTGAAACCCTGAAAGACAACATGCATATACAGAACCAGTACTAATTCACATTTACAAGGAAATATAATAAAAATGAGGTTATTGTAGAGAAAAAGTTTCTTATATTACACAAAGACATGGTAATTGAGGTATTACGTACGTTCATTCATGTGATGACTAAGTTTTTCTTATTATGTAAGAAACCGTCATGGCCTTAACATTAGTAGCTAAAGAATATGCTAACCAGCATTAAATTTTTAATGAGAGGTCTAAATCATGTAAAGATCCTAAATCTAAAACATGGAATAAAGGTAAGTTCATTAGTAAATTTTCTTTCACAAATCTGTAGAAAACACACATTACACCTTTCATAGTAAAACAAATGAACATATTGTTGCAGTCTTTCTTCAGCCTTCTTCTTACTCTTATTATGCTAACAGATCCTCCACATCATAGCAGTCAGTTGTCACAAATTCTTTTGATTTAAAACTCTCAGTTTTATTTCAGCTAAAGCCGATAAGAAAAATGGAAAATAAAGTGGGATAGTTAAAAACCCTTTTTCGAACCTCCTCCAAGCGCAGCTGTCAAGTGCCAAGGCAAGTCTCAGTTTTTTATTAAATAACTTACTTCTATTACAATATAATTGAGTTTTGGCGTATGCCACGTGGTAATCTAAGGAATGAGTTTTTGGAAGCTGACGTGGATGATTTGAGAGACATCAATGAGCATCTTCTAGTAGTAAGAGATGATAATTACCATGTAATAAAACTGCAATTTCAACTTTTGTGTCTTATTCTTATTTTTAACAGAGTAGATGTTAAATATTATTTAGTACAAAATTTATATTTATATATTTTGAAATAAAGTTTTGATATATTATAGTAGTAAGTGAATTATTATTTTTGTCAGTCCTTATATAATATTCGAATGAATATATATTTATATATATATAATATTCAATTATGCATATTTTTTTTAAGATATAGAAACAAAAAGTAATATTATTTTTTAAAAATTAATACTGTTTGAACGATGAGTTTATATATGTTAACAACCACAAAATGAGATTGCATATAATTCGGTTTGAACAAAATTAAAATATCGTAAATGATCCGCATCTAAAATGTAGGTTATTTTAAATTAATTAAGGAAGTTAGCTATTATTTGAGTTAGTTTAGGAAGTCTCTTTTTTAATTTTTAATTTTTTGGTCGTTTAAATGGAGATTTGTAATTACGGAATTTAACAATTATTCGGATATTCCAATATATTAAGAACATATTTTTGGTATATAATAATACCTAATTCAACCCATGGGTGGAGTCCATATTTTCATTTTAGAATCTCAATGAAAAAATTGTTTGCACAATCTATCATTCGTTATTTTCAAAATTGCTTGCATAATCAAATTTTCAAATATTTAGAGGTGTCAAACTTTATTTAAACTATTTCATCATAGAATTTCAACACGCCATAAGTCTTTCTATCATATAATTCATTATATTTAACCCGCTACTATAATTTTTTAATTATATATGTTTAAAAAATACAAATTAGCATATTTATAATTTTTAAATTTTAATCTATTAAATGATATCTTTAAAAATATCAGGTTAAACTATTTTTTAATGTTCCAAATTAAATATTTAAATTTTTTATTATAGTGCATAAAATTATAAATTTCAAAAAAGAATTGTATGAAATTGAATATAACTATTTAAATGTTATCAGGATCATAAGTCTTTCCATCATATAATCCATTACATTGAACACACCACCTACTATAAATATTTTAAATATACCTATTTAAAAATGAAATTAAAGTATTTATAATTCTTAAGATTTTGATATATTAATATTTATGATATTTTTCAAAAATATCAAGTTTGGTTATTATTAAATATTCCAAATTAAAATATTTAAATTTTTTAATGTAATATATAAAAAATACATTTCAAAAAAAAAGAAATGTATGAAATAGAATATAAATATTAAAATTCTGATCTGTTACTTAGAACATCATCTCAAAGATTAAAAGTGATATCGAATATATTACTGAAGTCTGAATTTTTGACCCGTTATAATTTTTTCTTCATAGATTAAACTATTTATATTCAGTTTTAAAAATTCAAATCATGGTATATGTGGAAAAAAATATACTTTTTTAATTATATGGATGATATGATGATTTATTTGTTTCATAAAAATATAATCATATAAAGATGAAAGGTTAAATATAATGATTAATAACGAATTAATAAGGTAAGTTAGATATCAAATCTTATATGTTCATTTTGATTGGTTACTGCATTTATGAAAATTAATAATGTTTTTTTTTTTTATAATTTAATTACATAAATTAGTATTTGCCTTTTTTATCTTTAATGAGCAGAATTAATTTGGTCTTTGGAATTTTATATCCAATGGTAAAAAATAAAATAAATAAGAAGCGGAACTAACCAAAAATTCCAGGTCCATCATCTAAAATTCACACATAACCAATCTTCTTAAGTAGCATTTTACAATGGGCAATGTTAGTTTCTTTAATATACTTCCGAAATAATAGTATAAGATTTATTTTTGAATGGATTGTGGTAGAATAGAAGCAGTTTAAATAGCACCCATTATGACATTTGGAATCTTTGTTTAATGTAGTTTATGAATGTGTCTTGCAGTTGAGTATGTAGACTTCGAAATCGTCAATTTAAATTTGGATACACTATTATATTACATTTTGTAAATTTTAAATATTGATGTTATGGTATCTTTTTTTAATATAATAAATTTGCAAATGGAATATTGTTTAAGTGAAATTAAGTAATCACAAAGATGTGACACATTGTTTTAGAATACTGTCCAAAATTGTTTTTCTTTCTTTTTTTCTTCATTTAACTATATTTGAAAAAAAAAAAAAATTTCTTCTGTAATACGCTATTCCGTTATATAGACTTTTATAACTACATAGTTTTAATATATTTTCAAAATATAGTACCTAACCCCGCCCACTTGATTTATTTTTGTTATCTTTTCTTCCATTTTTCAGTAATGTTTTGTTTATCTCCCATAAAATAGGCGTTATCTTACTTCATCACTTTCACACTTGAAATTATGTGCTTTTAGATTGACATTATATTTCAAAATTAGACAAATTGTGGTGTTTCTCATTTCTATATTCTTATTATAGAGTACATCATCATTTTAAGATATATCACAATATTTGATTTTCTTATAAATATTTTTTAAATGCCAAAAAATACTGGTTTAAGAAAACATAGGTTAATAAACCAATAAAATAATCTTATTATTTAAAAAATAATCCACTTTCATTACATGTTAAATCATTGATTTTTTCAAAAATACTGTCCAAAAAAAATTTCTTTCTTTTTCAAAAATACTGTCCACTTTCATTAAATGTAAAATCATTAGAATACTGTCCAAAAAAAATTTCTTTCTTTTTTTCATTTATCTATATTTGAAAAAAAAACAAATTTCTTCTGTAATACGCTATTCCGTTATATATACTTTTATAACTACATAGTTTTAATATATTTTCAAAATATAGTACCTAACCCCGCCCACTTGATTTATTTTTGTTATCTTTTCTTCCATTTTTCAGTAATGTTTTATTTATCTCCCATAAAATGGACGTTATCTTACTCCATCACTTTCACACTTGAAGTTATGTGCTTTTAGATTGACATTATATTTAAAAATTAGAAAATTTGTGGTGTTTCTCATTTCTATATTCTTATTATATTATTTTATTATAGAGTACATCATCATTTTAAGATATATCACAATATTTGATTTTCTTATAAATATTTTTAAAATGCCAAAAAAATACTGGTTTAAGAAAACATAGGTTACTAAACCAATAAAGTAAGAGAAAATGTTCTCAAATAACACTTAAAAGTGACTTAACTACTGAGATAACACCCGTGGAGTTATTTACATGTGTTATTTACATGTCTTACTCAAATAACACTTAAAAGTTGCCAAAAGTCTTTTAAGCCTCTCTAACTATTTTATTTACATGTTTCCCATTTAGAATTGAAAAAAGAACCGTTAATCGAGATTAATTAAGAAGAGTGAGAAAGTGGAAAAGAGTGTTTGTGTTTGGGTGTGTGTCAAGAACAACAGTCGGGCGATAGGGAGAAATTCCGGTAAGATATCCGGTTGTGTTTCAATTAATGAGTTTGAGTTGTTCTGCTATTATTTTAGCAAAAGTATCAAACTCTGCTATGATTTTAAAGTAGAAATCGTTATTTTTTTTACAGATAGATTTGTGTACAATTTGCGATGGGGAGGTTACGACGAAGAAACGGCGGGGATTGACGGCGGCGAATGTGGTAAGAATTTCTTAGTAAACCCTTATATTAAGCTTTGAGGGATTTGAAATAGGTAGCTGTTGGAATAATTTGAAACCTAATCGTTCTGTTTTCTGATTTATGTTCCGATGGGATAAAGAGGTGGATTGATTAGTTGATCAAGCGAGTGAAAAAATGGGAGAAGAAGGTAACAAATTATGTATTTGAATTTGGCGGGGTTGATAATCTAATGATAGAAATATAGGATAGAGTTTCTTTGTAAGTATGTAGTAGAGTTACAAAAGAGAGACATAATGAAGTTGTACTTTGTGCAGTAATTCCGAAGAAGAGCTACCCCAAAAGACTTTATGTTTCAGGGAAAGCACCAATGAAGGGAAGGAGCATGCATATTAACTGCACCTTGGAGAGTTTAGCAAGATTGAAAGAGAAGATTGGGGAAGATGCTTACTCTCAGATACGTGATCAGTCTAAAGTGGGAGTATTGTTGAAGCTTGCTGACAGTTTTTTTGTATGGTGGGCAAAGCTTGTGCATCACCTGTTAACTCATCAATTGGCAATCAGTAGGCCATATGAGATTTGGTGTCTCATTGAAGGGAGTCCAATAAGGTTTACGCTTCACGAATATGAAGACATAACTGGTTTGAATTGTGCGAAAATTATTGTAGAGGACATAGTGGCGGTTGACCACAGAGAGTTTTGGGGAGATTTAAAGTTGGCTGCAGAGAAGGGGCCAAACTGGAATGAGTTGGAGTCAGCATTAAATAGTTGTAGGAGTTGGAGTTTAGAAAAGAAGAAGATGCTTGGTCTGTTGTTCGTGGTGCATGTAGGTATATTGGGGATATCTAGGTCAAGTAGGATACCTTTGGACTATGCCAAGAGAGTGCTTGACACAGAGGCATTTGAGAGATTTCCATGGGGGCGAGTTGGTTTTAAGGAGCTTATTGAGTCAATAAAAGTTTTGAAGTATGATAGAATTCATTATGCTATCCATGGCTGTCCGCATGTCCTGAATATATGGGCATTTGACAGTATTCCACATCTTGCGAAATCACATGGGAACAAAGTACCGGACGATGGTGATGGCGATGAAGATGAACCGGAACCAGTGCCTCTCTTGCAATGGAATGGTGGTGCCTCTCTTGCAATGGAATGGTGGTCGTCCAAGAATCTATTTAAATAATTTCTTTAATACAGAGAAACTGAGAAAGAAGAAGGTATATTTGTTCTCCTCAACTTACATTACCCATATGTAGTTATAACACTTAAATAGCTTATTTATGTTCTCCTCATGTAGATCAAGGTGCAGCATTTAGTGGTGAGGCCTATGGCAGAGATTTATTATGTTTGGCCTGGAGAGAATGTTGTATATGGGGAAGGTGTAGGTGCTAATAAGCTGGTGGATAATCTCCTGCATGATATTATTAATGGTGGTTTAAAAGAAAGTGGTTTTGGTGATCCGGAGATTGGGAAGAAAACTGGAAAGAGGAAGAAGGAAGTGGACACTGAGGATGATTTTGTTGACCCACCTAAGAAGAGAAAAACAGAGACAGAGAAACGTATAAAGAAGAAAGCTAATAGTGGGAAGCAATTAAGAGATGTGAGTGATGATAGTGGAGAAGAGGTTCTGGAGGAACAAGAAATGGAGAGACTTTTTAAGATGATAGGCAGTTTGTCTGAAGAAATGAAAACATTGAACACCAATTTCGTGGCTGGGCTTGAGAAAGTAGACCTAAAATGCGAAGAGCTGAAGAAAAGTGTGACAGATCTGTATGGTGATGTGGAGAAGCTGAGGAAGAAGGCAGAAGAGAAGAATGATGAGAGCGAAGAAGATTTTGCAATTGGTTCAGAAGAAGGGACATGAACCAACGATGAGGTATGATGTGTACATCCTCTATTTAATTAGGAAGCATATGAAGTAAATATAATTCAAAATTTTCACAAAGAGCCTGTTTTATGTATGCAGAAAACCGCAAGTTAGTTGCTTTGTGAGTCACATTTTTCAAGCTTGTAGTGTCTCTTTATTTACTTATGATTCCTGAACTCATTGTTTTTAAAAGTGAACTTGTAAAACTTAATTGAGTGGTAAATGGAGATTTAAATGTTAGCATTTGTAATGGTCAAGTTTATATCTCTTTATTTACTTATGAATTATGAATCCTGAACTCATTGTTTTTAAAAGTGAACTTGTAAAATATAATTGGGTAGTTAATGGAGACTTAAATGTTAGCATTTGTTTAATCTCACTATCTATTTGTCTAGATTGAACTATGTTTATTTAGTCATGGCATAAGCAGGAGAAGCAGACTTCTCAAGAAGGTTTTCCCATTTTCGTAGTCGTCAGGAGGGAAAAGGAAAAGGGAAAGGGAAAAAGAAAAGCAGGTTCAAAGAAATCAAAGACAACAGAATGTGTTGACCCAACGAAGACGTTCAAGAAGTTGTTTATGGAGGAAGATTCAGGGAGCATGTCACCTTTGGTAAAGGATCCAATAGGTGGGTTAATGAGTGACTCTATAATGCATAATCTGATTGGTGAAACGTCATCTCCTGCTAAACAATTCAAGCCCTTCTCTGAGGCGAAAATAGCTGATTGGGATAGAAGAGATACATGAACTTCAGCGGGAGTAATGAGTAAGTCTATGTTGCATAATCAGAAGACTTCTCCCCTTGGCAGATGCATAAAAAAGGAACCACCATCACCCAAAAAGTCAAAGTTGACTTCTTTATCTGAGAAGAAAAATCTAAATCTAGATTTGGACTCAGGATCTTCAGCGGGAGTAATGAGTAAGTCTATGTTGCATAAACAGAAGACTTCTCTCCTTGGCAGATGCATAAAAAAGGAACCACCATCACCCAAAAAGTCAAAGTTGACTCCTTTATCTGAGAAGAAAAAACCAAAACCAGATGACTCAGAGTGGTCTGATCCTGAAGAGAAAGAAAAAGAGAAGAACTTAACAGCCGCACTAAACAAGTTGGTAGTCTTTTGTTCTAAAGAAGATTATGTTGACCGTCCATGTTGGCCTAGACACCTTGCTTCTACCCAGCTGGACCCATACGTTGGGAGTTCATTAGTTAAGCGGATTGTGCGTAGTAAAATTCTTTCTCCTGTAGCTTATGATCCTTTTGAACTGGTCACTCTTGAAAAGATGGATAAATTAGAATTACATATTCACCATGATCTATAAGTTCCAATCTCATATATTTACCTTACTTTTGAACTCGTAAACCTTTACTAGCTAAGCTTAACTGTTTTCTTATATGTAGGGAAAACCCTTTGGATTCCACGAATTCATCTGCCTTGTTATATGATAATAGGTTTTTCAGATCAATTAATCCTAAAGCACTATCATGTCGTTGTAGTAGTGAAAGTTGTCAATCCAATCAGGTGTGATGCAAACAGATGAGATGTGATCAGAAGTCACTAAGTCAAGCCAAGCAATTGCAGGTTTTGGTGTCTCTAACAATCCTAATTGATCATGCAGAAAACAGGAAAAAATGCAGAATTACAGAAATCACTCGACCACACAGTCTGTTGCTAGACACAGAAACTGCAACAAAAGCACTCTACCACACAGTCTGTTGCTAGACACGGATGTGGTCGAGTGAAATGGTGATAACAGGTGAGAAATGCGAAAACAGGCAAGGATAACAATAAATCAATAGCAATGAAAACAGAGAAATCAATTAGATAAGAGATTCCTAAGGATGGGATAATTGAATAGTGTGGTCTCCTTAATCTCTTTAAATGGTTGACAAAACTTCAAATAAGCTATCCCTAAACAACAAGTTCGAAAGCAGATTTATTCACTACCGTGCAACAAATCCTCAAGCAGAGCTAGACACAGACCTAATCACCATTAGCTATCTCTAACTATGCAGGCAATATCGAATTAACTTGTTAAAGCCAATACTCGCTCTAAACGGCCAATCCCTTGGGATAAAGGGCCTGTTCTTTTGTTGATCGCTGGAATTGAATCAAGCGACTGGAAATTAAAGAAGGAAATGAGGAACGGACAGCAGGTTTTTTACAAAAGTTCAGTCGCTGATTGTACGGAGGAGACGACGTGTTTTGATTTTCTAGTCGCTGAATTTTTTGGCGACTCCTCCATCACTGCAGCGACACCTCCATTTATTCCAGCGGCATCTCCGTTTCAGTCTTTGTCTGTAGTTTTACTTTATTGGCTGTTACAACCATTGTCGTTTCACTCCGGTATGGTTGCTGTCGCAGCGATTGAGAAAAGAACAGGCCCAAAGACGAGTATCTCAGGAATTAGTAGATCACACATTCCATCAAACACCTTTTGGGTGCGGGAATGTCTGGATTCATATTCCAGTTGATCAGAAAGGAACAAGCAATAAGCGCAACTAATTCAGAAGGGATTCACACAATCTAAACTCAACCATCTAAAAACGACCTAGGCAACCACGACTACTCTATCCCATCCCCAGAAATATAGTTCACTACTCAGACATAATCAAAGACAACAACAACGAAACAATTGAAAACATCATATGACAGAAATGATAAGGGATCAAACGAAAAACTCAAATAACAAATACTTGAAAGTGAAAACAAAGTCGCAGGAAAAAAGCGGTGAAGTGATAGAGTAACTAGGTTAAACAGAAACGAAAAATCGAAGCAAAAACTAGATGTCTCGGGACAAAACCCTCGAAGACTTATTTATACAAAGTAAAGATAAGAGATGGGTCGCGAATCCACTCGATCAGACCATAAAGCGATAACGGGCCAAAGTTGGGGCTTGTGATCGAGTGAAACTCTAAACCGCTTCCAAACACTTCTTCTTCTCCTCTTCTCTTCCTTATGCTCAGCTTGTCTGGTTGAGTGCGGATTTGAGAAGACTTTGAAGACGTGATCGAGTGAATGGTAGAGTGAGGTGGTCGAGTGCTTCAGGAGTCCTGGTGCTGCGTCACTCGACCACGGGGTCGAGTGCTGTGATCGAGTGACCTGGTCGAGTGAATGTGGAGGATGGCAGCTGCTGTCACTCGACCACAAGGTCGAGTGGTGTGGTCGAGTAGACCAAGAAGATGGTGGCTTCTTTCACTCGACCACATGGTCGAGTAAGTGCTGCAGAAGGCACTCGACCTTGTGGTCGAGTATACTCTTCTGATTCCGGCTCGTTTCTTCCAATTTGATCGCCAACAGCTTCAAATCACCTGAAAACAACTCAGAAATGCAAAATGTATGCAAACCTATCCTAATCATGCAAAGTTTGCAAGAATAATGAAGAATGATATAAAACAGTGATGAATGTTATGAAACTAGACTCAAAACAATGATGAATGAATGTAGAAGACATGCAAATTATAGACACATCAACTCCCCCAAACTTAGCCTTTGTTTGCCCTCAAGCAAACAGGAAGACATAGCAGGAAGGAGAGGTTTGAAGTTAGGGACTCAGAACCAAAGCAGAAGATAAAGTAAATAAGCTCAATGTCCAAGTTAATAGTTTTAAGATGCGATGCGATTGACTTCGACTCGAAAACTTTAGCCATGCTCTGTTATGATGTAAACCTATACTCAATTGCAATAAGCGTCAAGATCAGCCAATCCCTTTAACATTCATTTAAGTTCAAAAACATGAATCAAGCAATGCATCGTTAGGGAACTCATTTGGCTAAGGACGGGTTATGAGACAAAGATGATCCCTTTGAGGTGGTTAAGTTTTCAATATCAGGGGACTCTCAAAGAAAAGGGAATGAGCTTTAGAAGAATGCTAAAGGTAAGCGCCAACCTATGCATACAAGAATAGCATCACATCTATCCAATGACATAAATGGTGAATAACAAGTAGATGGTCCTATCTCTAAACCCATTGATGATCCTAAGTCTACCCTTTTGCTCTAAAGGCGCATCTCGATTATTTCTCGGATCAACTCATCTTTTCTTTTGGCTCTGTCTTTAAGGAGAAGTTTTTCTTAAACTCTGTGGCTCTTATCATTTTTTTCTTTTATGTTTTCGTTGCCAATTTTTTTAGAGCATAACTTAACAATTCTATGCTTCCCAAACAAATTCACTAGATCAATATGAATTTCAGCTTCCTTCTCCTAAAGAATCTAACCCGTTTCTTTTCTTTTCTCTTTTCACACTCAATAGCAATTCCCATATAAGTTCTCACCTAGTCCTACCAAGTCCAAAAACGTGGCCTGGAACTACATGAGATACTACTCTTGTCGGCTCAAACCTAACACGTTCTACCAAGCTCAATCCTGAAATAGGCCTCACATGCACACAAGAAATAACAAGGCTTGAAAGAAGGGTTGGTTATAGGTATGGGAACTACTCCAATGAAGGAAGCAACTATTGGATTAACAAGAGTGGTGAATAGGTGAAAGAAAATCCAAGTATGTATTCTATCCATGAGTTCAAAACCGATGCAAACATGATAATTATAAGTCAGATCCAAGTTCAAGTTGATAGGGAATGGTATCATGACATGCGATCGAGTGGTTTTAACAGAGCATGGTGCGGTCTTACTTCAAAGTCATTCATATGCATCAGACAACTAATAACGAAGGCATTGAGTTTTTCTAGTAAATCAACATGCTTACAAGGCTATATCCTCATTGTCCCCTATGCATATGCAACAATCCTAAATGAAATGCTCTAGACTTGCTCTCTCTAGATGGCGCTACATGCTCGCCAAAGTGATTCATGCTCGTATCATACTCTTTATCCCTGTCCACATCCATGTCATCAATCTCATCTTCTGCAATATCTGGTGCAGGAACATCTTCTTCCATCGGTTGAGTGATCTCAATATAAAGATCTTCGAGCGCAGACTCGAAGTCGATGTTTTCTCCCGCGAGTATACTCGTAGCTTCAGGGCAAGGAAGAAGAATGTT